GTTTTAACGGAATATCGTAACGTCAATTTCTTGGGTTAGAGTTTTTGTTTATTTCATTCACAAACTTTCCTCTGGTCCACTACCTTCTGATTCTATTGTTAATAAAATGCTCGAGAGTAAGTCTTAAAATTTTTGAGTGAGGGCATCTCCTCATCGGTAATAGGACAAAATGTCCAAAGATAAATGTCCAAAGTACAAAAATGTCCGAAGTAAAAAAGTCCACATCTAAAAGAAGTCCAAATATCTGGATGAAGACGAATACGATATTCCACGATATTCTAGGGGAATAGCCTATTATGTCGAGTTAGCAACGAGCCGCAAAACGAAAATGATGAAGAGGTATGAAGAATTCTACCAACAGGTAAATGGTAATATTATATGACTCACGGCAACCGGACATTTTGGCATTTTTAATTTTGGTGAAGCTACTGCTACTGGACATTCCAGATACTTGGACATTACTCATAGGCTTTCTTTATGTTGGACTTTCTTTTAACTCTGGACATTTGTTTTAACTCTGAACATTTGTTTTTGGACATTTTGGCCTATCACCTCCTCAACATTCAGGTTCTCGAACCGATGAAAACGATCTTAAGTGTGAACTAGGAAGGAATCATCGCGTTGCACTCGAGAATGGAGTTGTGAGGTGTAAAATTGATGAATGGCAGCACGCACGTACGGAGACTCAAACGCACGAGTAGAAAAAGAGTCAATTGTCAGAACGTGACTTGACTGCAAGTTGGGACTCATTGTAAGACCGCCTTCAATTTGATTTACGCTGATTTAAGACTCCCTTTTGACGAGATACAGTTTTTTGAAATCAAAATATGCCATAAATTTAATTGAAAATATACCGCGCAGGAAATCCAAAAATACGTGCTGCAAACTACATGCACTAGGCAAAAATTAATTACGTTCCTTTGTAGAATGTTTTTCAAAAACTATGAATAAGTCGAGAATCTAAGCGGTATCTTATGCAGAAATTATGTTCAAATTTTTTGTTTTTAGTTTTTTGGCTGATATTCCAGCATGTAAAATACAGTTTATCGGCGAAACGGGATTTTACGAGAAATGTAGGCGTGTCATCTCTCAGAGGGACTTTGGAAGAATAGGAGTCTGTGGTGAATAAAAGGGTCGCAAAGCGCTGAAGAGCGCTGTAAAAGCTGTTCTTATGTACTTATGAAATAAACAGGTTGAGAATACATTTTTAAATGTAGTTTTGCAAATAAATTCCAATAAAAATTATCTTCGGATGTTTAATTAAAATATGAAAGCAAACTACTTTTACCTAAAATTTCGGCTTTGGTTCGCGAAGGGGCGACTTCCTTCTAAATTCAATTCTACCAACGTCATTGAGTTTTAAAGGCGTCTAATCGTCCAAAAAGAATTAAGTTGAAAAGGTCCTTTGCCTGTTATTGTTAATAAATTGTTGCAAATGAACTATATGAAAAATGAGAACAAATGGGTTTTTTTGTGTTCAGCACAAGGAGAAAAAACACATAATTACCGTTGCAAAAAATGCTCGGGTAGATCCTAATTAATATTCATTGAGTCTTGAAGCGAAAAAGGCCAAATTAAGAAGGATAAAGACGGTATGTAGTGGATGTGCTGCAAAAAACGGATTTTGATGGTTTGCAAAGGTCCACATAAACGTAACAAGAGTGTTGGACTCTCTTGATTGATAAATAAATTACTACACGATTACGTGATGTTAATTTCCTAAGCTTTAATTTTGAATGAGGAGATAGGCCACCAATGAAAATTTTTCAGTAAAAATAAACTGACGTCTGAGACTATCTAAAAATTTTCCTTCATTAAGTGGAAGAAATTGCTTTTATAGGAGTCACCACGAGGCCCAATTTTGTAACTTATCATTACACTTAACCTTGAAAAGATTCGGTGAATTGTATGGTTTAAGTTACTGAAAAATGTGCTCAGGTATACACAGTATGATGATAATAACGTGATTATACATTTTTTTCTCACCGTCTATTCCTAAAGTGTTATCGGCTACCTTTAGAATTACTTACGTACTTACTGTTGGGGTATTATTAGTGGTTGTTACACTCTCATTTCCTTATTGAAACAGATAATCACATACTTTTTTTCACGTCAAGAATCATCGTGTGTGGGGAAAACACCTCAAAGAAAATAATAATCATGGAGCCACCTCGTAGCATTCATGAACTTTTCAAAAAGGGAGATTATGATAGTCTGATCGCGAATGAATTATCATCTCACTTGTCGCCACTTTAAGTATGTCTTAGATGAAATGAACTTATTTGTGAAGGAATACTTCAGCTTAAATCAGGTGATTCGATTGGAATAGCAGTTGAGTCGAGGAACTTCATAAAAGACTCTTATTCATGAGACCTCGTCAAATGAAACCAAATGTATGATTATGATTGACATCAACATAAAGCTAGTGCTAACTATCAGATTTCCTGGGGATCATATAGAGCCAGGGATCTGGTAATCTGTCACCATCAACCAAATATGCACCACTCTTAAACAAGCATTTCTGGATGATAGCATTTATATACTTCTAGTATTTTGTTTTGGCTCATAGATTAACTCAGTTGAGGATAGTATAATGATTTGGATTGCAAATAAGCATACGAGAAAGTGCAAAATATATAAAAATGTCTGCGAGAATTCACCGTGCGAAGAAATTTCAAAGCACGAAAATGCAATCACACCGTTTCTGCGATGCATTTTATCCTCCTCTTTTTGTCACGAATCGACCTGCTAATATTAAAGTGGAGCGTTAAATATCCAAGGCCGACCTCTTGGATTTATTTCGTAAGTACGTTTGAATTTTCAATATTGTTGTTTTTTGTTTCAACGTAAATGGCTATGTTAAGCTAATTGGCTTAAGATTATTTATAAACGCACTATCTGAAACTTGCAGGAGCATTCCGAACCCATTCTACAACGGAAAATGTTGTGTGTCAGAATTAGCAACTTGCAATGGTTATCGATGAAAATAGACTTAGGCAAAAAAGGTCAACCAGTATGTGATAACGAACCTTTCGAATCAATTTATCAATCAATCGATGGACACCGTAATCAACATATTTTCCGATAGAATGTTTTTTACTTATTGTCCGACAAAAATTTAAAACAATTAACTGAGTAGCACTTTGATTATTTTAAACAAAAAAATCTATGCATATCGACCCTTAAGTATAAACTTAGGTCACCTATTGAAATAACGATCAAAGGATGCAAAGGTGGCGTTATTTTGCAATTAAATGGTTTGCAGCCACGGGAAAAATTATTTGTATGAACTTCGATATGCATTCAGTGGTGAAGTGTGAATGATCGAGTATCGACCTGTCCCCATTTGAAGCTATGGTTAAAGAATCGATTATTGAGGTGTTCGTTGTGAACACCTTGTTTATCGATTATTTTACATAAGTTTAAATGGCAGATCAATCAATGTATCGAAAAGCACGCCGATTGTCATTAATTTAAACAAGTTGATTGAATGACCGCTCATCTCTTGTTCATAAAGCACGCTTTATTTCTGACCGGCGCTAAAAGCTCTTAGAAGCGTATGATAAGTGTTTTCATACTTTTCATTGTGAGAATTAATACCATGTGAACATATTCAATTGAGCTTTTCTAAAACTAGGATTTATGCTCTCAACCCTCCTCTTCAGGCACGGCTTTTCCGCCGATATCTTTTTCTTCTTTTTTTTACTTTTCCTCTCAAATTAGGATTTTCAAGCCCATCTACAATTTTTACATTTTCTGCGACCATGAAATAATATTAAACACGTATATCATTTGAATCTTGGAGGGTTAAAAATAAGCAGATTCTGGAGAAAATTTTAAGAGGAGGAAGATAATTTCAGCCAAATCCCAAAAACCATCTAGGTAAATTAACCAAGATTGTCAAAAAAAGATGTCGAATTACGAAGTTCAAGTAAAAATTGAAAAAATTCTGGATCTCTTCCTTCAGACAATGTCAAAAGATTGAAATGTTTGAATTCAATTTTCAGACGATAACACTTGTAGGCAACAATCTGGAAATGAAAGTATTAGATCAGATAACTATACTTAAAATAAAAATACCGGGGTAAAAAATGTTTACAATTTATATGTTTTTACATAAAACCGTAAAATTTTATGGTTATTTTGTCACATTATGAATTTAAAGGGGAGGCTCTCGAAGGAAATTTTACTTGAAAACCAATTAAGCCGTTTTCAAACTTCTACGTTTTGAAGAGATGAAGATTCTCGCTCCTAAAGTTTCCAGATAATGTCCGACATATCGACGGTGAAACTACCAAACCACGTATCTCGTTTGCGGTGTTTAAAAATCTACGCTCACATTTTATTTTTTTGAAGTAGACCAAATCAATATCATTCCTTGAAATTTTCACGGAATTTTTTCCACACAAAGAGGAAAAATCACATAAATTTTCAAGACTGGATGTTAAGTAGTTTTTCATTTAAAAAATAAAGTATGACAGGAAGTCTGCGACGTCGCAAACCGAGATACGTGGTTTGGTAGTTTCACCATCGATATCTATCATCGACTCGCTATACTGTGCGTAGCGGCGCACAGTGGATCGAGTCACTCAAGAGTGGTCGGACATGACATTTTTTACTAAAACCGCTAATTTTGATGTTTATTCGTCACATTTTAAATTTCAAGGGGTGATTTGAGCAGAAAATTTCACGAGAAAACCAATGGTACCACTTTTAGAACCTTAAAGTTTTGTACAAACGGAGTTTTCAGCGTTTAAAGTTTCCAAATTTTGTCCGAACTTTCCTACCGACTCGATCCAGTGTGCGGCGCGTGGCGGACCGCGGTCCAGAAGTTGCGGCAGGGCAGAGACTCGACTGTGGAGAAGCACATCTCAAAAAGTCGAAGCCGCCGGAGACGACCTTGAAGAAATAGAGCGATCTCTTGTTGTTAGATGGCTAATCTCCTGCCTCCGCCGCAACCCGCGACGCCGCGCCGCGCCGCGCGAGAATCTCGCCCGCCCGATAAAAAGGGGTGGGGGACCGACGCAAGGGACACGGTCCCCCGGTGCGAGGTTTTAAAAGGCCGCTCCCGCCTTAGCAGTCTCAAACCAAGTCTCCGTTAGTGTGAGGTGGTGTTACAGTTCAGACCTAAACATGAAGTTACAGGTGAGACTTTTTCCACACGTTTATTTCGTCGTGCCGCGTTTTCCCGCCGAATCTCCGCGGGCACTTGCCCTCGATCTTCGAATGTTTCATCTCGAAATTTCAGTGTTTTTCCAAGGATTTCGCCGCGAGTGGAAGTGATCGCATCAAGTGTTTGGAATATGTCTCCCGTCCCCGGTTGAAAGAAGTTGGTGCGCGTCCTACGTCGAAAAATTTTGCGCCGGTCTTGGATTTTTATCAGTACCTCATGGAACGTCAGACTCTTTTTTCAATTTTTTTTTTTTCATTTTTTATCATACTAGGGGGAAAGCCCCCTGACCGCTTCACGGTTCAACCCCTCCGGAGCGCTTCGCGCCCCAGGCGTTAAGCGTTAAACGTTACTCTTATGTATAGACTATGATAAGAGTGAAATAGGTGTATTCTGAGGTGCACGTTGGATCCAATGATGCGGGCACGTCCACCAGCGTTTAGATGGAGAAGTTAAGATTTAGAATTTATGTAATTTTACGTTAATGAGTCAAAGATCAATTGTGGCCAACTAGAAGTATTTAGTTAGAATCGAGAGGTTTAAATTGAGAATCTTCTAGAGAGGTTTTCTTTTAAGAAAGGGTTGAAATTTCCCCTAGTATCGAAGTTTTCACCAGCTATGCCGTATAGTAGAGAGAAATGAGGGGCCTCAGCCAACATTTTCGACGGTTTTTTTAATGCTGTTGATGATGCTCTAAATAAAGGTTCGTTAGCGTAATCAGCGGTTCCACACGTGGACATTCAGACGCTTGAAAAGTCTGCTATAGAGCGTCGGCGTCCGTTCAGTGGAGCTAACGGAAGACCATGCGGTTTTGGCGCTAACCTCATTATATTTTGCTCCTTTTACCATTGAAATCAGTCTACCTTCACAGAAAAACTATAAATGCCTTGTGATTTCAACATACTCGAGTAAAAAAGTATATAAGAGGGGATGATACATACAAATATTACACACTATTTTTGCCGTATCTGAGCATGTAATAATAGTGTTCAAAGAAATTATTGAAACTTACGCAAAATCAGAACGGCCAATACGTGCGATGCATTCATTACGCATGACATACATTGATTTCTTTCATTTTACGAAAAAATTCAAATGAACTGAAAAACCAAATAAATTGCACAGCAAGCTGCCGCGCAACGCAAAAAAACAGAAAAACGACAACGCATGAAGAAGAAAATCGGCAACAAACGTGCACAGGGAGACCTAACAACCAATTAACCTGACAAAAAACAAGCAATTGGATCGACAAACAAACAAAAGATAAATTGATCAATCAATCAATCAACCGACTAATGAATTAATCGGGCTATAGATATAAAAAATGAACCAAAAAAGTGAGGAAGTAACCAGTTTGAGAGCAAATGGGCAAATAGTATCGTGGATTGAATGCTATTTGCTAATATGTTAGTTTGCTATGGAATAAAGCAATAGGATATGTGAAAAGTTGGGTAACTTTCTGGTTCATCTTAATAAAAAGGTTAGACTTGATGGATTAGTGGAAGAGAGATATATGAGGGTTGTGAGTATGGAGGGAGGGGAGGGGGTGGAGAGAGAGAGAGGAAATGAGCGAAGCTTAAATCCTACGGAAAGAGATGAGCCCAGTTATTGATGATAATGCATTGTTTTTGGGTTAATAATATTCATCTTGCGCGAGCAGGAAACTAGAACATCACTAATCGCACCTAGATGAACCGGTGAAGCCAAACAATTACGCAACAACTGGCGCTTCGATATTTTGTGGGCAAGTGTTGATGGTTTTGCTGTCCAAAAATGCTGAATTATTAGGGCCGCTTTACTGGTTCTTGGGCCTCTCAATCTCTGGCCCAGAGTCTTGATAGCTCACCTATTTGTGAAACGATTAAGTTTACTGTGAAACGGCTCATTGGGTTAAACCAATTATTTTCGGTTGCGTTAATGCTAATATCAGAGGATCAACCGGTGTTGTGTCTTCGGAAGGCATCTGCTGAAGGATTAATTTAGGTCATTATCGATGCAACGAGATGAGATATACGTTCTCAATGCTTAGTTATTCTTTTGAATACCTAAATAATACCCTGATGGATGGTTATAACCATCCATATTCTACAAAATAGAGATTTTCAATGAGGGAAGTACTCATAATCGGTATAACCCCGGACCGTTGTTTTTATTTATTTATTTTTTATTTTTTATTGCTATTGCCTGACAAACAACAAAAACATTTTTCAGAGATCGGAATTATCTTAGAGTCTAATTTTTCGTTTTAACCAACATCTTGCTATAAGGAAACGAGCCTCCCGCTTGCATTACATTAAAGTTCAAAATAGGATAGGGTTGAGTATGAATGTGAGCTTTCTCTATTAAGAGCTAGTGTGCCCTAGGGTGTGTCTGGTAAGTTTGCTTCCAGATATTTCCGGCTGTAGAAAACAAGGTCTATTTTTTATTGTACCGTCGAGAATCTCTCTTTTTATTCTTTTTTATTCCTCTTCTTCGTATTCTTATTCTTAAGGAAACTATCGAACTGGTTTTCTCGAAATGATCTCCGTATTTTTTTTTCATATTTCCAAATTTTACAGAGAATCTGAAAAAAATACTTTCGTTAGTCTCCTTTAAAAAAAAGTAATAAAATATCATCTGCGATATTGCACCACTGCGATTGAGATGCGCATTTTTCAACTAAAGTCATCGATATTTAAATCATTCCGAGAAGCTCCTTGTGACGACTATCCTCAGACACAGTAGGAGCGTACTGGTTTTATTCCACCGGGTTATGCTCCTATCTATTCCAATAAAGGGCAAACGATGCCGGTGGCTGAGTCATAAATTGGATGCAAAATTTTAAAGTTCGATCAATAAATGACGCGAACGTCCTGATTTAAATTTCCCGTAGTGCTCAATTTTATCTCCAGTTGGAGTTTTCTCCAAGATTATTTTCGATTAAAATGTGTGCACAATCAATTTTGAGAAAATTTCCCGACGATGTGCACTTGTTTAAAGTTTACAATCTCTTTGCCCCTATTCCGCGAAAAGTCACATTCCATCTGCAATGCTGACTATTTCAATTACAATTCGCATTGCGCCATTGGATATTGAATAACAGTATTCTTAGGTTCACCGCTCCCATTCGCATAAATTAATGTCATCAGTTATCCTCAGCCTCACCACGGCAAACTACTGTATTAGTTGAAGGTTAGGTAACCTTGGTGTGGGGACAATCGTTTAAATTGTGCTGCAAGTTGGCCTCAAGTTAAGTCTGGGACATTTCAGTGGGTGAATAAATCTTTTTATTAAAATTCGAAAAGGATTAGATTCGGGTTTGAAGCGATGAATCCGACATTTGTAGCGGGTATTCATTGATTGATTTGAAAAATTTAAAGACTCTCAATACCCAGCATTTTCTCTTTGAGATCATACTTTGCCCGCGCAGAAAAAAATATCTTCGTAGTATTTTGTTGATGAATGATTCATCTTGCTCCATTCCGTTTCAATAAAATGCGGCTTTTCTTGTCAAACAAAGAATCAGACGCGGAACCCACCAAAGAATACATATAATAAATATATTTAATAATATATTTCAATAATAATATTCATAATATATAATAATAATTTTCATAATATATTTTCAAATACACTTATTATTTATATCAATTATTAAAGAATTTCAATTTAATAAATAACTTAAAATACTGAAGGGTATAGTCGATTAAATAACAATGCTAAAAAAATACAAAAATTATCGCGTTTTTTTTGGTGTTCATTGATTTCATTTCTATCACCATTGCGTGCAGTTTCGAATTCAGCTTTTAGTTCTCCTCTTACAGGCAACTATGTCTACCTTCAGAAAAAATGCACGTGAAAGGGGAAAAATATTAATATGTGTGCATTTCAAAAACCAATCCAGATTTTGGCGGTCCTTGACTCTGATTTTTTTTCCAACACAATGGCTGGTAGCAAATTGAGCGAGCGACTTCTCCTAGGTTTGATAAAATACGCAAGTTCTCGGATTTTGTTGAATGGACTAGGAAATTTTTTGATGACTTTTTTTTTAGTAACTAAACAAAAAATATTTCATATCCGCGTTTGCCTACATTCGCAGTTTACAAGAAATTACCCATGAGCGCTTTTTCTCCCGCGATTTAGTTAACCTCAATCTTCAGGAGGCTGATTCATGAATTAACACCAACTTATTTAGCGAGTGCGAACAATCTTCGGCCTTCCTGTCAATCCGAGGGACATAATCGACGTGACAGATTTTTTATCGTTTGTACCATAATTTCGACTGAGAATAATTACCATAAGGCCGCCCGTTTTTGTCACTCTGCGCGCTGCAAATATTAAGTCTGGACTGCCAGAAGCAAAACCGCCGTATGAACATTCGGGATTTGCCATATTTCCCCGGATGAAGCATGTATTTTTGAGGAAATGTGCGTATATTTTTCCTTGGAATCCACAGGTATTTTAGATCAAACTGGGGGAAAAATTCTGTGAAAAATCGGTAGCAAAATATCGGCAGATTTTCCTGCAAATTCGTGGTTTATTAAAGGGAATCTGGCAACGTCTGAAGGCTCTTACGGTGTTCCTCTTTAGCACGGCAGTAGAGGAAACCGACGGATTCTGATATTGGTCCGGTCGCACAGTGGGAGAGGTCGGACAAAATTCGGAAACTTTAAACGCTTATAACTCCGTTTACACAAACTTTGAGGTTCTAAAAATGGTTCCATTGGCTTCCTCGTGAATTTTTTTACAGGTACCCCCTGACAATTAAAATGGTACGAAATAAACGTAAAAATTTGCAGTTTCAGTCAAACATTTCATGTCCGACCTCTCCGACCGACTCGATGCACTGTGGGTCGGTGCGTAGGTGCGATGTGGGCTCTACGCAAGTACCAACATGGCGAACAGAAACAGAGACAGCGGGAAAATTGATGGTCCGAGTTGTCCGGTATTGCTAAACTACATCGCACACGCGGGTGCCACATTAAGCGCGGTGACCACCGAATCTCACCATGTTTTCGTTGATCGTTGATTTTCGTCCGGTCTTGCCTCCACGCGTGCGCATGCGCCAGAAGGGCAAAAGCTGATCTGACCCTCAAAGAGCCGTTCCGTTTTGGATGACAGAGCTCTCGTTTCTGTGTCTTTCTTTTGCAGCCGGTCGGTCGTTAACGGTCTCATGGACTCCGATCGCGTTGAAACCTTGCTCAAAGCTCAAAGCTCAACACAAGTGAACGTAACGCAAATAGTCCTGCGCCTTGGAAAATTAAAACTATTTAAGGCTCGATTTTAAAGCTCCGATTTACGTGCAGTTCTCTTAATTGATGGCTCAAGTCGAAAAATGCGTATCGCTACGAGTGCGACGTTGAAAATATCCGTACATGCAATAGTTACTTTAAAGAAAACTAAGCAAAAACTTTTCTTATTATGTTCCTCACCTACTCCGCCGAGTATCCACAAAAGAGCCCCATGAGATTTATGGCTAGCTTTCTCTCCCGAACAAAATTCAAATTAACCGGAAATTTTGAAAAAGAGCAATTGAGATACGCATTTTTTCAACTTAAGCCATCGTCACCGTAGGCTGTATTGTTTCACAACATCTGAAAACCAGATGCCAAAGTGCCATATCACCATTAATGTTGCAGCTAGAGACAGATCTCAGTCCTGTTTGCTCATCCAAAGAATTCAGATATTACAAATCAGTATTTCAAATCAGTAAATGATGCAACTGCCTGATTACGAAACCTTTTTTCCCTCTTTTTTCAAAAATAATTTTGATCAGTTTCACACATAGTGTTCATAATCGGTAATACAAAAAGTAAAATATCATACCCTTGAAATTTTAATTTTAATGTCATGTCAGTGGTCTGGTCACTTACCTGAAACAAAGAAGGAAAAAAATAATTAAAAAATAATAATTAAAATTTTTGTAGGAACATGATTCTCATAATGCAGGTATTCTTCTCAATCATAAGTGTTAATAGATTACCTAAAAAACCACGCCAGACTGTCCAATATATATTTCCGTATTGCTAAAGTCTCAATAAAACGAAGACTACATTTTTTTGAGAAAATAAGATGATCACGAAAGTACTAAAGTTTTGGAATTTTGTGAAACTTTAAAACAATGAATAATAAAATCATCTCCATTTTATAATGATTTAATTATTTCAGTCGGTGGAACTCGCATGACGAAATAAATACAAATCAGTTTCGGTATGACCTTCATTTGCTCGGTAGTAACATTTCAATGGAATACGGTAATATTTGAAAAAAGTGGGGTCCTAAATATGAACGTAGCTTGCGCAACTTATTTTGGAATTTCTCTCCAGAGTGAGACATGACAACGTATCCAGGCATCTGAATTTTGTCCAGGTGAAAGACGACCGGACGACCGGCCACTAAGAGACAACGATCATAACGAGGCCATAAATGAAGTGGGGAAAAAAATCGCATGCTCTAACATTGTGCATGAAAACATGCAACTATAAGAGCAGGAGCACTTGCTGCGTAATGATCACAAAGTCCACGGTCCAACGGGTGGACCGGGAGGTAAAAAAAAACCCTTTCAAATGATACACCTCTGCTACCCAGTTGGCGTTACCACTTAGGAGAGCGCATTATTTCGAACGTCGAGCTGGTCGACCTTCGGACTGAAATTCTTTTTTCGCTCTTTGCTCGGTTATTTTCTGTCACTTTGCTCGCATGCATCCGTTTTTTATAACCCTCTTTCTCACAAATTTTCTGCGCGGACGAGATGTGTACAGGCTTTTTTTCACGTGTAAAAAGAGAATCAAATAAAAAGAAAAATGAGCGAGCAAGAAAATTGTCGCCCGATTACTTTGTCTCCTTGACAGATAAAAATATTATTGTAGGCCTTCAGGCTTCTTTGCGAAGGTCCAAGCGAATAAAAGTAGAGCTGGGAATTTAAATGAAGGCGATTACGGATGCAAACTCTTCTCCCAACTACCGAAACGCTAGTTGGCTATCGATAAATTTTTGGAGCAGAATAATAATTCCTGACCAAAATTATTCTATTCGTACAGATCGTATGCATTAATTTTGATTCTTGCTAAGTTGAAAATCGGCTCATCCCTTAAATCAATTTTGAAAATTCCTATATATTATCAATTTAATGGTATCCTCTCCCCTTTGTACCCGCCGTATATCCTTCAAAGAATGGTCTACGCGAATATAATGGTTTACTTTTCTACCTCCGCGTTTGAGTCTCCAAGAATATTCTATGAGCCCCTTCGTATGTATACTGATAGGATCAATCATAAGTTTTTCGTGGGTAACATTTTCTTTGCTCCGATAATTTTGCTGCGAAATTGTGGGATACTTCAGTTCTCCCCCCCCCCTTAACACCCCTCAACACCGAAAAAACACTCAAATGTCACGAATAATTGTCATTCTTCACTTGGATCGGTAGCGCGCCTCGCACTGCAGGTGTTAAGGAGGTGAAGGTCCTCGGCTATTACGGTGACATTCGTTCAACCTGGTGTGATGGGAATATCGCAGATACTTCGAATAATTCAAAATTTATTAATAAATTAAAACCTAGTGTGTAGACCAAAAGCGCCGAGCATTGCCTAACGAGGAGCATGCTGTAAGATCATTCCTCTTTGATCTATTTAGATTCACCGAGCCAGGTTGGCAAAGAATGGCATGTTTGGTTTTTTTTCAGTGGCTTCATTAGCTAAATGAAAACAAACAATTTCAAGCGGCATTTTTTCTGACTCGTTTTTATGTCAAAATTGAGATCAGAAAATCATGGATCGAGAAACAAGTTTTATTCTTGAGGCACACAACTCTAGCAAGACAAACTAGCTCCGCCGGATGGATTTCACTGATAAATGTGGAAAAATAGAAATGAAAAAAAAAAAACAACTAGCACGAAAGAATAATGTGCAGTGACATTATTTTATTACCGAGAACGAAGAGTGAAAAAGTGAGGGTTTTCATCGAGAAAATGGGGGAGTAAATGGGCATTTAATAGTTTTTCTGCTTTAAAAAAACAAATGAATAATAATAAAAAAGAAAAAAAGAACCTTCATCAATCCACATGGTGTCAATTATAAAATTCCTGATCTTTGGCAACATTTTACGAGCACCTTTTACCAAAGTTAATTTTCCTTTTCTTTTTTAAGCTGTATTTCTCATTCTACGTATTGAAGATAAATAAGTAACGTTTTATTGTCGGACTGAGCATTGCGTGCAGTTTTATCTCCGAGGCACTGAATTTCTTCAAAAGCATCTTAGCGAATGCCAAAGTGCGAAACCATACGGCTCTGTTTGCGAAGTTGCAGACTTCTTGTCATACTTTGTTGTTTCTTCGGAAAAACAGTCGACGTAATTCCTTGAAAATTCGATTGATTTTTCTTCTCTGTTAGAAGAATGTTCTGTAAAATGACAAGCCGAGAAGTTGACTAAAAAATCTAAAATAAAAGTGGAGATTTTGAAACATCGCAATGCAGATACGTAGTCCCGCACATCGGCCATCTGTAGATGTATGCTGCTGTGCTAAGGAAGAACGCCGTATGAACCTTCAGGCTTGCCAAATTCCCTTCGATAAAACACGAAATTCCTGGTACACTTATGAATATTTTCCCTCAAATTTTTCAGATATTTTTGTTCACAATTTTACCTACGGCTCCTAAAGAATTTCAAGGAAAAACATTTATAACTTTCCTCAAAAATAAGCATTTTAATGAAGGAAATTTGGCAACTCTCGAATGTTCATACGGCGTTCTTCCTTAGCACGGCAGTATGCCTCTGAGTTATCTTCATTTAAATTTTCGACACTTTTTTCAACGATATTTTTCCATTTTGTTTCAGTGGTTTTCACTGGCTTTGTCGGCGCTTTTGGTGGTAGCAGCGGTCCAGGCCGGCGAGGACCAATCCTCCAAATCCGGGCTCACTGGCTTGGTCAGGAGTCTGCTCGGGTCCAGCGGGAGCAGCGGCAAAACCGCCAACAAGCGAGGAATCGCCTATGCCACCGCAGAGCCATGCGCCAACGACATCATTAGTGGAGGCTACGTTTCCTCGACACCCATAACACCCCTCGCCTACCAATCGTCGTACCACTCGTATGACTCCCACGCCAGCGGCATCGGCATTGGCCACATCGTAGGACCCTCCGCCTCACCCATCGCCGTCTACGGAGCCCCTGCTCTGGCTCCCGTCCACACCGCTGCCGTCCACTCCTACAGCCCTCAGGTGTACGTCCAGCCCCACAAGGAAGTCACCATCACCAAGACGGTGCCAGTCCCATACCCTGTCCACGTCGAGAAACAGGTCGCTGTGCCATACCCAGTTGAGAAGCACGTCCCCTACCCGGTCACCGTTGAGAAGCACGTCCCATACCCAGTCAAGCAAGTCGTCCACGTTGACAGACCCGTCGACCGTCCATACCCCGTGGAAGTGCCAAAACCATACCCCGTCGTCGTCGAGAAGAAAGTGCCATACCCTGTAGAAAAGCACGTTCAGGTGCCCGTCGACCGCCCATACCCAGTTGAGGTCCCAAGGCCATACCCAGTTGAGGTCCCAAAGCCCTACCCAGTGGTTGTTGAGAAGAAGGTGCCATACCCAGTTGAGAAACGCGTCGAGGTTCCCGTCGACCGTCCCTACCCCGTCCATGTTCCCGTTGAAAAAACCGTCCACGTCCCTGTTGACCGTCCCGTCTACATCGAGAAGAAAGTCCCATACCCAGTTGACCGTCCAGTCGACCGTCCCTACCCAGTCTACGTCGAGAAGAAAGTCCCATACCCAGTAGAGAGGACCGTCCACGTCCCAGTTGACCGCCCATACCCCGTCCACGTCCCAGTCGAGAAACCAGTGCCTTACCCAGTTGAGAAGCGCGTCGAAGTCAAAGTTCCAGTCGACCGCCCAGTCCCATACCCCGTCGAAGTCCCAAAACCCTACCCTGTGACCGTTGAGAAGCGCGTGGAAGTCCCAGTCGCCACCCCCGTGCCATACCCAGTCGAGAAGCCGGTGCCCTACCCAGTGCACGTCCCCGTTGTGAAGCACGTCCCAGTTGACCGCCCATACCCAGTCCACGTACCTGTTGAGAAGCCAGTGCCATACCCAGTTGAGAAGCGCGTCCCATACCCCGTCCAAGTGCCGGTCGACCGTCCTTACCCCGTTGAGGTCCCAAGGCCGTACCCAGTCACCGTTGAGAAGCACATCCCCGTTGAGAAGCACGTTCCATACCCGGTCACCGTTGAGAAGCATGTGCCATACCCAGTTGCTCAGCCAGTCCCATACCCAGTTGTCCACAAGGAGATCCACCCCGTGGCTGTTTCCACCCCTGCCCCTTACGTGGCTGTCTCAACCCCTGCCCCGTACGTCGCCGTCTCATCTCATGCTCCCGCCTCATACGGCGTCCACATCTCATCTACCCCAGCTGTGCCCCTCGCTGCTGACTGTGATTACCCCAACGGCGTCCACGCCACCATCAAATCCCACGGTTCCAACGTATGGTAATTCCGACCACCGTACAAACGACGATTAATTTAAGGTTCTCATGTGCAATTTTAGTAATGTATTTCGGCATTCCAGCCGCGTCTCATTGTAGTATTTTCACAACTTCAGACCGAAAAAGTCGAAAAAGAAAATGAAAAAATCGAATTTCTTTGGAATCCAAAATAATATTTGTGCATGCAACAAATAATTGCACTGCAACTGTACGTTAAAACCTGCCATAAAAATCATTTGTGCAAACTATCTGTTAGTAATTACTTATGTAATGAAATCCGACTGCCTTGAACACTGTCACATCGCTCAAAGAGATTATGCAAGTCTCCTAGATTCGTTAAGAATTTGGAAAGTCAAAATTTACATGAGTTTTCACGAGCAAACTTTCTGAATAAAAAAACAATGTTGCTTTAGTCGTATCTCATAGATATGAACTTAAACGCAGAAGCTCAGGTTTGAATTTAATCGAAGTTACGATTATATTCATTTTTAAACTTAAAAGATTACCTACGAAGAAAATGGCTAAAATGAACCTATTTAATTCGGCTGATTAAAACTATGGAATGGATTTAATTTTTCAATCTGTGTGTTTGTAATGTCCATGAAAAGTTACCATCCAAATATAGCTTAAGAGAGAAAGGAACCAGGAGCCTAACATTAGTTTCATTTCTTGATAAAGTTAAAAGAAGTTACCTACCACCTCACTCTCTTTTTCAAAATAAAAAAGATGAATTAAAAATATAGATAGGTCTCAATTTAATATAGATTCTCAAATACCGATGAATCCATATTGAAAGTCACTGTTCCTAGTCCTTATATTTAAAACGCACAAATTCCAGAAAGAATGTGTTGAGTTAAAAGCAGAAAAAAGGCAAAAGTGGAACGAACGTAGACTGTGTGATATACGGTTTAGATTAAGATGCCGTCAATTCTTCGCAATCAGAGATTGCCAGATTTCTAGAGTTGTATTGTGATTTTGTAATTTTATTTGTCATTGATCTTTTTTTTTCTTTTATACCAAAATGTGTAAATAAAGCGAGTCTCTCGAGCGAATCTTTGTTTTTTTCAAATAATTTACAACCAACAGTAATTTACTCACAGGAGGAGCAGAAAACTGAAAATATGGATATTTCAGATTTTGACACTGCAAATAAATTCAGCGTTCCTTCTTTACAATTTTTTAAACTTATTTTAGGAGGACAAGTTTGAACTAAGTATCCCTAGAGTAGCCTGAGTTTAATAACATATCAAAAATTCGATTCATATTTATTTTTCACCAGTCTATTCTCTCAAAACCATAGCTCAATTTTTTTGAAAATAGTACTCTATTGCATGTGAAAAATCTCAAACATTTGCCAGAATTTGGGTAAATGAACTTTTGATAGAAAAATTAATACGCATAGATATTTTGCTAAAAACATCATTGATGTTGTTGTGCTCAGATTTTCATTATTATGTTCTTTTTTCCAAATTGATATTTGCAATCATAATTTGTCTCTTATAACAAAGTTTTAAGAGACCTCTCAAGATTTCTAATGTCCAATTTCCCTCAATTTCGCTCTTCACACGTATTCTCTCATTACCTCATAGCTGTCACTCAATAGTGTCTTCTGAACACAACTTGATCCACATTTAAATCCTCGATAAGTTTTTATTTGTTTATTTCACCATGTATGAATATCGAAAAACCACTGATAAGAGTCATGAAAAATCGATACCTCTCAGCAAGATGTGATGTTAAATTATTAAGTGTCTTGAAAAATTTTCAGTGAAATTCGGATCGACCGCTACTAAAACCCGCCATCAAAACGATGAATCTTAAAAACGCTGAAAATAACGTCTTTATAGTAGCTCCCTTAATTCATACTAGTTTTTTCCCCCCATATCATCCAGAGTTAATAGGCGATTGAAGAAAAATAAAGAAATTCATTAACGCGGTTGATTGCCAAATAAATGTAGCAAATCTTTTCCGATTGACCTTCTATTAAAGAATGATTATTTAACATCTGATTGATTTAAAAAAGAGGGCTGTAAGGATTACGTTCGGAAGTTGAAAGAATATACAAGTATCGATGGAATTACTCAAATATTTTAAATATATCGGTTTTAGAAAATTAAAAAAAAAAAATCGGTTTTCCGATGCAATAAAAGGGAATCTAATTTTCGAAGTAAGTAAACATCATCTGATCATCTTGATAGTTGAGATAAACACGCCACATAAAAATATAATATGATCACTACATTGACTTTCAGTTGGGAAAATGTTTTAACATGGCAGCATTACCTGCCCAAAAAACGTCCAAATTACATCGCATAAAATAATTAGCATTCTAAGGTGTCATTAAGATCACTTTAAAACTCAATCGAGGCATATTATGTTTACATCAAGGGAAGAGGGGTGTAGAAAAGGTACTTCTTGATTGCGGTGTCTCAGAATCGCCGCTAACGTTTCATCTACTTTAATTAAAGAAAATGAATGGAATTCGGTGAAAATTTTACTGAATTATCTTAATGCTGCTTTTCCGATTCTGAAAACGAAAAATTTCAGAATATTCACCTTTCTAAAATACAAATCAGTAGTGAGGACTTTGAGATACCGCAAACAAGAAGTGATCTTTCTGCACCCAACGCCTCAAATGTGTGCAAAAACTTTTCTCGTCAGTCTCAAGCAAAGAAACCTCGCTTAAAACATGATTTGTGAATTGAAAAGAAGCAAAAAAGAGTCATCATTCATTTTGAGGAAACGTAAACTTTGCTTACAGTCTGAAGGTTCCCGCGAGAATTTTTGATTTTTTCCTGAGGAATTTTATTTCAACACTGCCGTTCACTTATCACTGTGTACAAAAAATGGACCACCTTGAATTCAAATCAAAGTTGTCATTTTTTGCAATAAAACTTGGATATTCTCCATGTCATTGGATGGGAAAAGTGCTGATTTTTCAGCACGATGTGGCAATGATTCAAATCCAAAGCCGAACTTGACGTTCCGTTTGGATGTCACACCTCACAAACACGTGTTGGACGTTAGAATTTGGCTCGTATTCTTATAATCGTTCGGGATCGGAGCATGGACGTGCTTCACCAAACTTTTAATTTAAATCAAAATCGGACACAAATAAATTGTTTTTGAAGGTATACTGTCACTCAATCACTACGTTATCTATGGCACATAATAATTGCATGAGGAAGATTCGCGTATTTTGCAATGTTACGTGGCATCAAAATTTGGCTGCTCAAATTCCCGAATACGGACAGTTACTGACTCGCGATCGGTGCATGACGAAAAAAGCACCGTAATTTCATCATGCAAATGTTTCTCATGATTGCCTTGAGGTTACTGCTTTTTAATATGTGATGTAGACTTTACCTCACGAAGAGACTACATTGATGAGTTGATTTTGACGACATAAATTTTGCGATTGATAAGTGTGACTGAGAAAAATTTCAGTCCAAAAAATCAGCGGCTTCTCTCAGACTCGACAGCAGTAAACAGCGTTTGGAACAATGCGAATTTCTCCTCCTCATAAAGCTTATGTACTATTCCTAAATTAGGGACAAAATCAAATTTGTTGTGCAAATTTCGGTAAATTTTCTGCATAGAACGAAGCAGATTCCTTGACATTCACCAAGGAATCCGCACAAACGCTCTCTTGTAAGAAATTGAATTGTACAGTTAAAGTTGGCAACAGCTAATGTAGCTTGGTTCCTTTCTGCTAAACGCGGTCCAAATAATCAAAGTGAAGATCATGAATGGCAACGATCCGTTTATTTATCTGCAGTCTGCCAAGCATTCGTATACTATAAGGAGTGAAGCTGAGTCTTGAATGAGAGCTTGGAAGTGTACGCAGAAATTAGTTACTATCAAAACGACCTCATAAATCAAACGCGCTCGGCCGGCGGCCAAGTGAGTCTAGTTTATTTATAACTTATTACCGTAATTAATTGCCGTTCAGTTCCGTTGTTGAACAATGGACTGTGAAACGTAACCTGAGTGGGTTAGCGCCACCGGATGGATAAACTCTCGCGGGAAGTGGAGGAGTAAGGACAATGTGGGGGGGGGGGCGAGGGGAGTGTCCGCGTCAATGAAAACTCATCATCGTCTAGCTAGGAATAATACGTTGTTTCCCGGAGGAGAGAACGTAACTTTATTTTGGCTTCGCAAATTCCGCTAATAAACTGTTGTATTGAATGATCATTTCTAACTAAAAATTTTCTGATTTATCCACTGATCCCGTGGAGCAATGGTAAAATTTTATGATAAGAAACTCGCAATGCATCATGAACTAAGCAAAAGATATGTTCTTGTTTATTAGAGATTAGAAACAGCAAATAATCAAATAATTTCCGTATGCAGATACATGTTTTTTGTAAGAGCCAAATACCGTAAATACCAATATCAAATCACCAAATACCAAATTCCAATAAGTGGTTTCTGATTGCAAAATGTCGTCCAACTTTCTTACTCGGGCGTTAAAGTCTCCAGCGTTTTTCCACTGTCTTAAGATTCTGTACACTCTTGTACCACGTAACAAGAAACTACTGTTTCTGGCTCATTTTAGAAACAGCGTAGGTGCCTTTCCGTCCCCTATGCTGATCGGTGATTTTATGGTTGAACAAAAAAGCGGTTCCTAATTCGAGGGCTAAGGACCAATACGGCTTGTCTGACAATTTTAGCGAAAATTAATTAGCGACTTTGCCGCATTTAACAGTAAAAAATGAGTAAGCTGATGTTTTTCCTTTTTTTATATTCGGCATGAAAGAGCTACAGAGACCATGTAAAGTATAAAAAAACCGAGGACCTAACCTTAAAACTACAAAAATGGCGAATTTTTTTTGTTTTTCATGTAGAGTCGTCGGCTTGCAGGTAAGCGGTAACGCTCTGTAGTTATATAGCTGTAAAATGAAGTGCACCTTTTCTACTCTTGCGGAAAAGTCTCTGACATAAACTAACGCTTTAGATACAAAATGATATGCCGAAATGCAGTCCAATATCGACGCATATCATTCCGTGATTCCGATCAAAACTGCAACAACTTGACGTGCGAAAAACACGGTCATTGAAATATTATCATTAGAGTAATAAACGTCCATTGCACGAGTTTGTAACAGCTGGTGATCAGTTCAGTGATCAGTGATTAGTGCACATCGATCAGAGCGCGGTGGCGGTGGTGAGTCGGTGTCTCGCCTTCAAGCTTTCCAGGTCGTGCAATTAAATCTGTATATTTTACGAGATTTTAAATAGGGGAAGGTGCTGATTTTTCGGCACAATCTAGTAACAATGCTCGCCTTCGTTTCGCGGCACCTCAGTCAAGGGTCACTCAAGGCTATCTCATCCTATATGGTTAAAAGCTCCTCCCTATACTGCCTGGCTATGGAAAAACGTCGTATGAGCCTTCAGACTTGCCCAAGTTTTTTTCGTTAAAATATAGTTTTTCGAGTAAACCTGAGAGTATTTCTCCTCCAATTTTTCAGGGAATTCTATTCACAATCAGATCTAAATTTTCTGAAAATTTCAAGAGAAAATATTCACAAACCTCCATAAAAATTAAAATTTTATCGGAGGACATTTGGCAACTCTCGAAAGTTCATACGGTGTTTTTCCCTAGCACGGTAGTATAATTCAAAGCTATACAACCACACATACCTATACAGCATCCTCGGTTATCTGAACTTTGGGATTTGGCGCAAAAAGGCTGAACAAATGTTTGTGCGTTTAATGAGTTATGCCACACTCCTCTTCAGACTGCTGGAATGAAGAATATTTAATATTTAAAAAGGAGTTTGTTTATAAAAGTAATTAAATTGCCGCACGCTAACACCGGAGTGACATTTCCACTGAAGTTTGATTAATGTGAGGGAGGAAAATCCGGCAAGTCATGAAATTTCAAGAATTTTATTTACGGGAAAAACTGAGGCTTTTGTGCGAGGCACCCTGACTTGAAAACGCCTCGCATGAAATTTCCGGTTGTGGAAGAGTCACGCCCAACTCTAAAAATTTTTCTACGTTCAAGGATTTTAGACTTTTCGTCGGGTGATGTGTAAGATTACGTAACTATTATTCGGAATTTTGGATCTTTTCTGTATCGCCGTCACTTACACGTCACATGCTTTCACTCGAACTCAAATAGTTCTAAAGAGTCACGATATTAAGTTCCCCACGGTCCCCCTTTATTTTAAGTTATAATTCATAAAAGAGCCTGATAAGGAAAATACACTGGAATAGTGATAGCGGAAGTTAAAATAAGGAAATTGTTAAGAAATTGGAAAGTATCGAGGTCCTAACTACATCAATTTCAACATACTAAAATAAAATTGAAGGGGGAATAAAAGCTAAAACCGACACATCTCTGTCGAAGGTACTTACATGGTATGAGGTCAATCTTGCATATATTTAGGTTTTAACCTTTGCTCCTTATTCCATCTCTTTTTTATTTTTCTCCGATAAAAATGAACGTGTGAGAAACCCAAAATGTCTTGGTTTCTCAAAAGCTTATTTACTTCAACCATGAATATCTATTTTTATGATTTTTTTGTTAAGGGGTTGGTTTGAGGGTATTGCCGTGATTTCATTTTCTGGAGCCTAAATGAACTACATTGCGCAATTAAGAGCTATAAGTTCTGGCTCGGTTCAGGGACAACGTATGTACCAATAGTTTTCGAATACACATAGGTTCTTTTACAGGCGAGCCAAAAAGTATAGCTCCAAATTGCAAAATGTAGTCTAAATGATGGCTAATTTGCCCCCAACATTAGATAAAATTAAAAGAAATCAGTTAGGAGAGAAAGATATTGGGAAGGTGGCTTCACTATGTTAATCAATTATTTTAATTTCCTATATTTAGAGAGAAAAGGAAAGGAAAACCTCATTAATCTGGAATTTTCCGTACTACAGAATTGATCAACTAAAAAGATTATAGCCAAGGTTTGATTTAAGGCGAATGATCGCAGGACTTACATACCGCTAATCTCGTTGCGCCTTCATTGGCGAAAGTATACGCAATTTGCAGTGCACGAATGCGCGGAGAGCAGACCACACGATTTGAAGGAAATATTTTAACGGTAAAAGGAGTCACATTATCATGCCTTCGCTTGCCGCCCGTAAAGCATGAGTGTTCTGCTAACGTATGTTTACACCTATTCATTGCATATTGTTTGAATTGGCCCAACTTACGTCCCTTGATATGAATTTGGAGGGTATCAGGGATTGAAATTTCAATTGAAAGCATGAGCATCCATGTAATTTTTCAACTTCAACTTTTTCTTCTCAAAATCTTAAAAAAGTGATTTAACAGCTTCAACGATGATACTTTTCATTTCTGAAAGATTGTATTCTCCTCTTATCTTTTAAGTTCTATTTGTTCATTCGCATCAAAACAACTATAAAATGCTGCACAAATAAAAATGAGTCATGTTGTACTGAAACGCTTGATGTAAGCAAAGGATAAATAGTTATGAAGGCTCCTTATGAAAAATAGCCACTTGGGCACACACTGTGACTTTGCACATTACCTGAATGGTGTTATCACAATAGAAGCTGATTCGGGTCAATTTTACTCCAGATACTCAATTCTTAAAAAGCTAGAGACAGTATACATGGTGTGTATATACTTTCATAGCGGTTAAAAAAATCTTTCGACTCAGAAACATGATATAAACGTTTGGCCGTCAAAATATTCAAAATCTGTCACCGTCAAATACTCAAAGTTTGCTGTTTAGGAAATTCCGCGCTCAAAACGAACGGAATCACTCGTCTGAACGTCTGAAGACAACGTTTGCAATCGGTATAGCGAAGAAAAAACCGTGACTGACGTCATGAACTTCGATAGTGCGAACCCAGGTGTATTTCACTAAGGTTTTCAGGGATGCACAAATTTGCACTGGTTGTTTCGCGCACATCACCGTCAAACCAGAGTAGAAAATCAATTACATGCGTCACTGCCGTGGAGTGTGTTGTCGTGCTAAGGAAGAACGCCGTATGAACATTCGAGAGTTGCCAAGTTTTCCTTGACAAAACATAACGCGACATTTTTCAGGCAATTTAAGCATATTTTCCCTTGAAATTTGCAGATATTTTAGATGGAACTGCGTACAATTTTGTCTGAAAAATTTGGAAAAAAATGTATTTACAATTTTCCCTGTAAATTCTGTTTTTATCGGAGGAAATTCGGCAACGTCTGAAGGCTCATACGGCGCTCTTCCTTAGCACGGCAAAGTGGATGACGTCAATCATCTTATTTTGTGAAGGGCGATATCTCCGATCATCTTCGAAACTCGGCGCACGGGTGGATCTTATTATCAATAGCTAATCAGTATAATTCAATTATATTTAAACATGATATCACGGATTACATACTGACTTTTTTAAGGTGTCTCAAAAAACTCAATTAGGGGATGTGTCGCGGCAATCCTCAGAGGACGTTATGACCACATCCATACGATCATGTTAATTTCGACTATTTTCCCTCACAAAACTGAATCGATACTTCAAACTCCGCGAGACGCCAGACTATATTCTTTAATCCCTATATAGATTTTCCTGATGAATCCTGAGATCCTACAGGATTTTGGAGATGGATACGGAATCCATCTGATTTTGCTCAATCGAAGAGGAATCCAAGCATGCCGGATCAGTCTGCGCTTTGCGATTTTGACGTATTAATGCTGAAAGTAGCTACGTGCAAATGAATTCAATAGAAAAGAACTATGGGTTTTGCAAACCCTATGCACACACCGTTCTTTTGAGTTACTTCAGTTTCGCATAGTTCTTTTAACATATATGTATACACCTTAAGATTAGATGGTCTTCTATACGAAAGGCAGTACGACTGTGCAATAAAAAGCACCACTTTTTATTTGCAGATTTTCATAATGGAATTGCCACGAGGCTTTGGATCGGCAACAAGATCTGCACTTCTATTATTCAGTAAAATTTCCTTAATGCATGTAATTATTCTTGGCCACTTTAGCACTACCGCGGACAGATTATAGAAATTTATAGACAAAGTTGTAGACAAATAAGAATATAGCAATTCCGTCGGGTTGAAATGGGTGGTTCTTATAGACTGAGGGAGAAAATGATGGACTAACCATAGGATCTCTCATGGGTTATTGTTAGTTAGTCCATTGCAACCACTTTTTTTCACTAATTGGAGCGCTTGATTTTCCCTTTGTCTCTTTTGACCATCGCTTTGTATATCACTTTTAATAATCAGCTCGCTGACCTATTGATGACATCAGAATCAGTCTCAAATGAAACCGTCAAACGGCACCGATCTAGAATTGCCCCCCTCCGAATTCGGAAAATAATACCGTTCGTGGGAAGTTCGCATACTTCCTGGGTTTCCTGGCCAATATAGCGCTCAACGGCCTAGTGCCCAAGGACGTCGCGACAAGCCGAAGAGAGGGAAATCGTGGTCCCGGGGTCCTAAAGAGGGGGGAGGGAGGGAGGTAGGGTAGCAGCGCCGCGGCGCCGATGGACCCAGTGAAATATGATTGATAAACTCATATCACTTTCTATGACCAACGCCGCGTCGTCGCCGTAGTGTTGCGAGAAAATCGCCTGAAAAATAAATTCGCGGACCAGCGGCCGTCGCAAGCGCGAAGAAAGTCGCGGCAGAAACCCTCTCGACCATTTCACCGCGTGCCCGCACCGCTCGCCGAACCCCAACCTCGCGTCGACCTCGCGCCAACCTTAACCCTTTCGCTTTTCAAAATGAGGCGAGTTTCCAACTTCACTCTTTTGTGGATGTGAGATTGTGAGGATTGTGCCGGGTTGTGAGCCCACTGGATTTTGTGCTTTGTACCCTAGCGCGAGAGTTTCGTAGCATTTCTGTCGTTCGGTATTTGTGAATATTGTGAACCTCTCGTCACATGCCTTCAGGAATACTCAGATGACGTTTGGTTTCCTTGCCAATGCACCACTCAAGGATGATTACGAGAACGCAAGTAAGTCCCGTTTATTCAGCATGGTTTAAAAATGATCGTGTTTTTGGTTACTCGGGGTTAATTTTCTTTCAGTAAAATCAACCGCAAATTTTTGGTCGATTCGACCGAAACCTTAGGTTACTTCGAGGCATTTTCGGATCCATAAAGTGTCCCGCCAACCTAATGCACTCACAGGTTCCTCTCTTAAATTGGTCAGTTGTGGCCATTGCATGATTCGATCTAAACCATCCGAGCCTAAGTTTTACGGGTTTCTAGTTTGTCATTAAAAAAAGGTCAATTTATACGAGATATAAACTAGCAAAAAGGAGCCAACTCAAAGATTTTGTTCTACTTCCCATATTAACACAAAATTTTGGTTACTTTCTCTTACCGTGTACGGTCATAGTTTCTCGCAAAGTAAAACTACTCAACTGGGGTTCGTTCATCAACCCATGTGAATGGCTATTGTAATTTGTTTAAATAATAAAGAATAAAATTAGATGATACTCCTCGAACAATACTGGCGGATTTAGGACCGGTTGATTTTTACATCGGTTATGCGTTTATCGATATATTTTGCCATCAGGAACCCGTTTCTCTTAAAATTCACAATGGAAGAACGCGAAACGTCATGTGAAAGTTCGACTGCGAAATAGTCAGAAGGTACCTTTGTAGTGAAATTATACTTATTCGAGGTAAAACTAAGGGGCACATAGACAGTTTTCACCAATATCGAGGGCTATTTCGTGATCATCATGGAACAAAATATTGGTCAAGAAGTAAAAGAATTGTAGTCCCAATATTGGGAAAAAGATTCAAATTTTTTCGGTTCGCTCGACATACTGATATTCGATGCATTCATTCATTTTCGATTCATTCCACAGCCGTACTTCCGTACTACCGCGTTAAGAAAAAACACCGTATGTGCCTTCGGGCGTTGCTTTGATGAAATATGGATTTTCATGAAATTATATGAAAATTTTTCTTTCGATTTTTTAGAGAATTTTATTCACAATTATATCTAAAGTAACTGAAAATTTCAAGGAAAGATTCTTGAAACTTCCCTCCAAAATTAATATTTTATCATTAGAAAAAAAGAAATCTGAGAGCCCCTGAAAATTCCTGCGGCATTTTTTCTTAGGACGGCAGCGTAATCCATACTTCGAAAATAAAACGTAAATCTTGTTTAAGTTCTTCAAGTTTTTGTGTTGAAAAAGGCCCTCAATGTCACCCGTCCTTAAGTGGAAAAGTATAAGGGGTCTTGGAGAAGTTTAGCCGGCGCACAGTGGATCGAGTCAATCAAATAGGTGGGAGATGAAATTTTTAAGGAAAACCGCAAATTTTGGTGTTTATTTTGTCACATTTTACATTTCAAGGGGTTTTTTAAGTAGAAAATTTCACGAGGAAACCAATGAAATCACTTTTAGAACATCAAAGTTTTGAATGAACGGAGTTATAAGCGTCTAAAGTTTCCAAAATTTTTCCGACCTTTCCTATTGACTCGATCCACTGTGCGGCTCGGCGCGGTGCGGCATCGGCAACACGGGGTGCGGATGGTTTGGGCGATTTGCCGGGTGGTTTCGCTTTCGGAGCCCTCGCGGGCAGCGCGGAGCAAGACGCAAGAGAGTTCGCCCTGGCTCAGTGCTCCATTTCCAAACGGTTGCAAAATAAATCATAATTTCACTCGGACCGATCTTTATTTGGACTGATCCGCGGCTGATCGCTGATCTCGACTGTCATCTCTCACGCAGACGTCTTCTTTCCCACGTTGCCCGCTCGCCGCCATTATGCAAATCCCGGGTCCCGATCCAGATTTTCCTCTTTTACTTTTTCACTCGAAAATACCCAAAAAATCAAGCCTGACAAGGCGTTGTTTCTATACCCACAGACACCAATGCGCCTGAAAATGAAGGCTCAGCGCCAACGTGACCCCTAAAAATTCCCGAAAAAAATCCTGAATTTTCTATCTGGTGATTTTTCGAAATTTCGACGCACGTTACCGGATTGAACCATCAAAAGTGCGCCGTGATATGTAGGCAAAAATTGAATTTGGTCCATAAAAAATCTTCAATGTCCCTTAGGAGTCGAACTTGATGGGGCACACTTGATGCTGATGACAGAATAACCTTATGTTTTCAGGGCTTCTGCGCTTTCTTTGTTATACTTTCAGAACTATTGCATTCCCATAAAAAAGTAAGTAACGCTCTGCTCAACCCCCGCCCCTGAAATTGGCATTTCGCGCAGATTCCAACGTTACGTAACTATGGACTACTTCCTACAACGTATCCGTGACACAAGCTCAAACCCCCTCGCCCTTAGAGCAGTACGTATTTTATGAACGGCCCCTAATGAACACGCACAATTTACAGAAAGTAAACATTTGAGTAAGTCAATTAATGAGTTCAACACTTAAAAAAGAGGTTGAAAAGGTGACATAATCTATACAGAAAGTTTACGGACTCGAGTATGCGACAGCTAACTTTTTCGCTTTTATTCTCCCTTAAAGCCTTAAACGGTAAATACTTTTAAATATCTCCACAACCAAAACTCCGCAAAAGTCACAAAATCGTTTTTTATCATGATGGGTGGAAATGCGGTTTGCACTGACGCGATGAATAACACCAATCACCGTGCTTTTGATAAGATCGCATTAATACTAATATTAGGCGTAAAATCTGACATGAAAAAGGTTTTTTCTATATTTGTTAAGTTTTTCAAATTTATCAGGCATGGTGAAAGCGTGTCGTCAACTCCTTGAAGGGAAAAAATATTCCTGACCTGAAAAATTTTAATTGCAATTTTTTCTTGAGTAGCTTTTCAGATTGCATGTGAGTTCTTAGCTTATGTGATACAAATTTGGGAAAAAAAAGAGATAAGGAATAAGGGCAGTCTTATTCGTCGATATTTTAAAGGCAAGGCCGTCAGAATCCATCGGAAATCATTTCGTTGAGGGCGCCACTCAGTTTATGGGGCAACTGAAGGAAATGCGCGATGATACATAAAAAAAAGATTGGAAATAATAAAGGCCGTGAATAAATGAACGATTAGCTAAGCCTCAGATTAAAGTTTCAATGTAGAAAACTGATCATTCGATGATTTTACTACCTCACAACTTTTTTTTTTGTCCCGAATTGAAAAATCAATTTTCATGAGGTTGAAGGTAGATTTGGACTGAACTATATCAACGACACTGTACTGAAACTGAATTGAGGGGAAGTAGTTGTGATACATTAATGCCTAATATTCAATATAAAGGAACAGGTTAAAGGTTAATTTTCGCCAAATCTGAATCAGCAGCAACACCCGTGAGAAAATATTATCGATTCAGTGGCATCTAATTCCGCGCATACGAATCTATTTAGTCTTCCCGGATCATACTCGGTTATTACCCGAGTATATCAGTCAAACCCAGTTTCACGTGATCATTTGAAAAAGTTCACCACGTGTATGAAAATAATTCCACCTGATTGATAGGCGGTTTTGAATTAAATTTGGTGGTTTTCTTACTGAAACAGATTTTGTTTTGATTCGGCTGAGCCGACTGAGGCCGTCTGACTATCAATTGCGGGAAGATACCATTATTCGACCACGTAGGAGATCGTGGTGCATACACTAAAAATTGAGAGCAAACTAACATGAAAATAAGTAACGTCCACCCGTTAGATGGAATGATTTTTTTGGTTTGTGCCGCGAGTATGCGTGCCTTTCCATGATGATACCACTATTCGACCACGTAGGAGCTTGTATTGCCTGCCCTAAAAATTGAAGGCAAACAGATTTAGGGTTAAGGAATGAAGCGAAGAATGATGGGAAATTTCGATTTTTGAAAATTCGACGGTAATATTCGACTTAACGACATGGAAAATCACTATTAAAGCCCGGTGCATGCAACATGTTGAGTAAAAATTAGTCAACTCGACCATTTATACTTCACAGTAACTAAAATATCCTCATCAGTAGTGTCGTATCCAGGTTTTCCTTTCATTTTTATTATCTCCTTGGGGCATCTTAAACCTGATCAGTTAATTCTGCTTCTTTTTGCCAGTAGTTGGGGACGATTTGCTCCTCGTCACTATGAAAAGCTCTGAAAACTTTAGGACGATAGAGAATTGCAATTTTCTCCGATATTTCTAATGGAAAGGCCAAGTGTATATTTAAATATATTTGGAACACGCCTTGCCAAAGAAAACAGTTGAAGATCGACTCAATATTGGTTTAATTAGCATTGCATGGCGGATCTTTTAATCCCATCGCTTTTCTAAGAGAACAGCAGGAGCAAGGAAAAGGAAGCACAGACAGCACATAAGTTAGGTAAATTCAGTGAATCACAGTTAGTGACTTTCATGTTTTGTGTGACCGGTGCAAGGCTTGAAAACGACCCACAAAGAAAGCCGGTAGCTTAAAATATGGGGTAATAGTTGTTTAATACGTAAAACAGAGGGTAAATATTTTCAACGAGCTTTCTTTTTATTGGAGCTGATATTTCACGCTAAAAGTTGGAGCTGGTTACGTTTCTACTCGTTCGTTAAAGTCTCCAACACTTTCGGCTAATGCAAGGACATTAAATAGTATATTATGGTGTGTCAACGGCTGCCTGTTACAGTAAAAAAAAAATGCGTATTTTCAATTACGACGTTGCATGTTTCCGCACATAAGTTTTCTAGGGAATTTTCAATCAATTTGGCTCACTACTATTCATGAGAAATTTCAGAGAGATATTTTGGTTAGTTTTCTTTCAAGGAAATTAAACATCACACAGATTTGCAAAAAAATTGTTTGAAAAACGATAAGGATTTGATAATTGCATTCTCCGTAACGTATATCACTGAGTTCGGAAACGACTCCGCTTCTTCCCTTCCCCTCCCTCCATCCCTTCCTTTCCTCCCTTTACCTACCAATTTTCGAGAAAATTGAGATTTCCCCCTATAATCAGGTTTTTACGAGAAAATTTAAATTGGTTAATGATAAAGAAAAAATGTCATTCCCAGATTTAGCAGCTAAAAATACGTAAAATAACATGT